CGCTGGGAAGCAGAGCTCACAGGAGAAAAATGAAAGGTATACCAAATCCAGTTGATACACTCCCTGGATCCCCCTGGCTCACCAGCCTTCCCTGTCCCAGGCTTCAACCCCTCACCCTGCTTCTTGGCCCTAGTGGCCCTGGCAGTAGTTCACCTGTCCCCGAGCTCCTAAGCCCTAGCAGCCACCACCGTCCTTCCCTCTCCTAGTGCCTCTGGTTGCCTCTGCTTCCTCCTGAGAACAAGGGCCAGAGCGTAGCGTTTCCATCCTGCCCACTGCAGCAGGGGCTACAGCAGCTCAGATGCCCGGGCCTGAGCCAACCTAACTCACAGAAGCTTTTGCTTCTCCAGAGGCTGCTCAGAAGGCTCAGGTACCAGCCCAGAAGTGCAGGGGGCTCAGCACCCCACAGGGCAACGTTGACTACTGAGAGGTAGGAGGTGGGAAGGTGCTGGCAGGTAAGGAGCTCTCCTCTCCTCCAGGGGTCTCCTGCATGACCCAGAACCAGCCGTGGCACCACCCAGCATTTGCTTGGCTTCCTCCCTGCCTCATTTCCTGTCCCCCTCTGCTCCCCTGGGATGACATCAGCCGAAGCACTAGTGCATAGGCTCAGCCAGGGCTCTGTTTGCTGCTGAACTCCAGCTAAGATGAAGGGAAACTAGTATTTGTGGACTCCCATTATGTGCCAGGCACAGTGGCCCTTACCTGTGTTATCTCATGTCGTCCTTACAAAAAATGTAAGACAGTGATTATTAACTCAGTCTTACAGATAAGAAAACTGAGGTAAGAGGAAACAATTAAGCCAGCTATGAACTGGTGGAGATGAAAAGGTAAGGCAAAATTCAAACAAGCAGAGGGTGCTATGCCTCAGCCTTACATTTTATACCTTTTGTGGCCCCCTAAGTGGGTTTATTTCCCTTTGGGGAAGCAGTAGTTATATCAGTTACGTGCTGCAGGGTTTGGGGTAGGCTTAAACCACAGTAGCATCTGACCCAATAAAAACATCTTTACTGAGTTGTCCCCCAGAAGACATTAGGGAATCAGGAAAATTCCAAGAAAGGAGACAGAGTAAGAAGGTGAGAGTACAGATGTGAAAGCAAGACCCACTAGGAAGCTTTCCTGTGGTTCCTTGAAAAACAAGAAGAGAGAGGCACAGGCCCCAGCAGTTCAGGCCCAGGGCAAAGCTGGGTGAGAGACGGAGGGCATCCGCTGATGCAGAGGTGCTGCCCCTGCAGCCTGAAGGAGGTAAGGGCGCCCCAGGCTGAGCACGAGGAGTCCCTGGTTGGGCTCCATCTCAGAGCCCCACGGGCTGCAGGGAGCTCCGTGCCTGGTGTGAAGGCGCCCCCTAGGGGCCTGAGGCCGTTAGAGAGCGCAGGGCAAAGGTAGCCTTTGAGAGCTAGGCCTGCAGGGCCCACTCCATGAAATTTTTCTCTTGACATTTGTCAGAACTCAAAGCCCTGTGTGCTGAGAGGAGACCTATGGGAATAGAAACAACCTCTGGCTTCCAGAAACATTTTATAGAAAGATTCAGGAGCTTAGGAAACAGAACAGTCCTAAGAAAGACATTTGGAATTTTTAAACACAAAAGAAAATACAGGAGATCATATTTCTGACCTCAGGTAAAAAATAATTTCTTGAACAAGATGCCAAAAGTGAAAGGAAAAGGTGAAAGAAAAGACTGAGGTTAACTGCACTAAAATTAAAAATGTCTATTCATTAAAAAAAAAAAAAGTACACAGAGTGAGAAGACCAGCCAGAGACCAGGAGAAAATAATTAACACATACAACTGGCCAAGGAGTCCTATCCAGAATCTATAAAGAGCTACTGCTAATCAACCACACAAGAGTATGCAATAGGAGACATATGCAAGTGTTGTTTATAATATTTCCAAACTGGAAACAACCCAATGTCCATTTGTTGTTCAATGGATAAATAAATTATATTTCACATTCCCACAGTGGAATACTATACAGCAGTGAAAATGAATGAACTACAGCTCTACAGCTGCATCTCTCAACACGGAGATCAAAGATGCAAAAAGCAAGTTATAGAAGAATACTCATAATATGATCACTTTTATAGAAGTTCAGAGAGAGGGAAAACTAAACAATATATTATTTAAGGATAATATATGTGGTAAAACTATTTTTAAAAAGCCAGAGAAAAATTAACACAAAATGAGGGCAGGAGAGTAAAGAAAATGCATCAGGGATGGACAAACAGGAGCTTTGCAGGTACTGGTGATATTTTTTCTTCAGTTTAGTATGTGGTTTGTTTTATTGTTCTTTAAATTGTACTTATATACTATATTTATTCTTACATGAATGAACTTTTCACCAAAAATTCTTTCTTAAAAACAAGAGCTGGGTTTTTTTAAGAGTAGAATAGTCAGACTACTATTAGAGGGCATTTTCTATGTAGCTGAAATCCATTCTAGTTGGACTAATGGTACAACAACATCAGAACAGGGGATGGGGGTCACTAACATGGGGGGGCTTACCCTAAGCCAAGCTTTAGTGCGCAGATTCTCAATAGGCATCAACTCTACCTTATTGATAAAATACAGCCCAAAACAAACTGAGGGGCTAAAATTCTGAATGATAATGAATTAGAACTTATAGCAGTGCCTAATAGTCCCTCTGTGACATCTGCATAGTGTTTTATCATTTATAAAACATTTTCATATGAGTTAACTCAATCCGTTCCCGTAAGCCTTCTGAGGGGTAGCCAGAGAAGGTTATTTTTATGTCTATTTTTAAAAGAACAAAACTAAGTCACAGAGAGGTGATATGACTTGCCTGAGGTCACACCACCAGGACCAGGTCTTAGAACTCCTGGTCAAGTGCTCCTCCTACCAAAACTACTGCCTCTCAGTATGGAGTGTGGTAGACCAAGACTCTGCCACAGGTGTCCCCCAACCCTGCACCAGCCCCTGGCCACTCCCCGACCACATTCTTCCTGGGAATAGGTCAGCCTGCCCTGAGGCCTGCTCCTTGAACTCTCCCAACCACCAAGACTATCATCTCTGGTCTTCAGTTATATTCCCCTGTGTCACAGTCCTTGGTATTCTCCTATTTCTTCTTCAATAAGGAATTTTTCCAGGTGCTTATTTTCCTGTCTTTGTCACGGCCCCTCTACATGAAGTTCTATCTACCTCCCATTATACAGCCAAGTGTTGGCACTCGTCCGGAATTGATCATCTGTGGGATAGCCCCTGGGCACACAAATCCCACAGGTGGCAGTGTAGGATGCCGCTGTTCTCAGTAGGAAACATGCATTGGAAAAGCTCCCAAGTGGTCTGACTGGCCATTTCCGGTCCCCCCACCCCAACTGAGGATCAGTGAGATAATGACATCTTAGCTGTTACTCAACTTCTCTGAGCCTCCATTTCCAAATCTGTTACTAAACAGGTGTTTTTAAGAAATTAAGAGAGGTAGTGCCTACCACATAGTATGTGTTAATCAAATGTTTGTTCCCTTCTTCATCTAATCATCGCAGAAAATAGAAAATGACTCACCTCCATGCAGGCGCAGTTTCTGACATTTGTAGTCTTCCAGGAGAAAGACGTGTGCTCTGGCGGACTCTTTTAGCTACCGCTCAGAACCCTACATGGTGCAATACTTTGAGTTCCCAGAAAGAAAAGGCCCGGAGTTCTTGTTGGAGGCATGCAGGAAGAGGAAACCAACTCCCAACACCAAGTACTTCCACAGCTGCATTCTGGAAGTCATCCAGACTGGGAGACAGACAATTGTAGTGCAGGGGGCGGCGCGGCACCTGGAAGGAGAGAATCGCAGGTTCATTTGCGTTCACATTCAGGACACAGGAAAGCCGCAATGGGAATGAGCTGGGCTTCTAGCTTGCTGTGTGCGTTTGGTCAAGACACGCTACTTCTCTGGGCCAGGGGTTTGGATCATATCAGAAGGACCCTTCCAACTGAGATTCTCAAGGACACTGAGTATCTTCATAATCATTAGGAAACAAATTAACTCTCCAGTCACATTATTTTCATTTGCATTATTATAACCTAGGCTGGTGTCCAACTCTATTCATACACAGTAAAAAAAATTATGTCATTTCCACTACTGAATCAAGCACAGCCAAGGGTACTATACAGTCACTTTTCTCACTTTGTCGTTCTGGGTAGAACAAGAGACTTGCACTTTAGATTCTGGAGCAGCTGAGCTTTCTTAGGAAGATTCCAGAAGGAGTTATTAACCCAATGAATAACGTAGTAAGTACCATTCCGACACCCTGGGCTGCAATACTACACTCTCCTATTGCTTTTTTCTCTTCTAAGGAAAGACATCAAACAAGAAACTCATTCAAAATTTAACCACAGTATGAACAGACATTTCACACAAGAGCAATTATAAATAGTACATGTGCAAAAAATGAACCTGCCTACTGGTATCCGAAGAAATGCAGATTAAAGCAAATTTGGGACCCAATTTTAAAATATTAATTCTCAAAACTGTATGAAAGCAACAATATTCAATGCGCCTGATGTAGCAAGATTGACTCGCTGGCCTCATTTTGGTGGCATTGTAAATGAGTAAGAGTTCTTTTGGGAAGCAGTATGGCAACATAGGGGATGAACCATATTCATAATTACTGAAAAGTAATGCAATAAAAATCTGCATGAAGAAGTTCACATCAGCAATATCTATTATAGCAAAAAGAGAAAAAGGAAAAAATAATCTATGTGTCTAAGCTTATGGGAATTGCTACATAGATTTTGATACAGTCACATATTTTCCTCTTATAGACCCATAATGATGAAGATTAGGTAGCAATATAGAGAAGAGTTTATTATGGGTAAAATATAACAAACCTCAGGATAACATGTATTATGATTATAGCTCTAAAAATGTGCATATGACGGTACAGGGGCTGGAAGATAGTGAAATAAAGGTAGCTTTAGTGTTTGGGAGGTGAAATATTGTGTTTTAAATTTTTTGTTATAAGTGCCATTTTGTCTTCAATTAAATAAATAGAAGAAAGCACGGTGCTCACTTCGGCAGCATGTGAACCAAAACTGGAACGATACAGACAAGATTAGCGTGGCCCCTGCACTAGAATGACCCGCAAATTCGTGAAACGGTCCATATATTTTTTTAAGTATATATTTTTCCTTTATTGATTTTAGAGAGAGAGGAAGTAAGAGACAGAAACATCGATGAGAGAGAACATCGATTGGGCGCCTTCTGCATGCTTCCCAATGGGGATTTGGCCCACAGCCTGGACATGTGTCCTGACCAGGAATCGAAACAGCGACCTTTTCGTGCGTGGGTCGATCACCGGCCAGACGAGTATATTAATTTTAAAATAATTAATTCACCCTGGCCAGTTTGGCTCAGGGACCAGAGCATTGGCCCATGGTCCAGAGAGACCTGGGTTCGGTTTCCGCTAAGGGCACGTACCTTGGTTGCAGTTTGTCCCCGGCCCCTGTTGGGGTTGTGTGGGTGGCAGCCGCTCGATGTGTCCGTCTCACATCGATGTTTCTCTCTCTCTCTCTCTCTTCCTCCCTCTTTCCTTCCCACTCTATCTGAAGATAAGTGCAAAAATGTCCTCAGGTGAGGATAAAAAAATTAAAATAATTAATCCTATTCACAAACTTTCCCACTAGACAAGGACAGTGGGAACCCCAACTGTCTTATTCAACGTTGTTTGCCAAAGCACTGGTCTGGCACATGATGGATGTTCTGTAAATATTTGTGGACTCATTGACCACTGCTGTCAGCCTCTCTAAACAGGGTTTAGTAGATTGTTGACACCATCATTTACAAGAAACTTTTTCAAACCCAACATCTTTCTCCACATGTTTCACGGAAGAAGGACGATATCTCCTTAAAGCCAGCACCAGGGCCATGCTAGGTGGGAGAACCCCCTCCCTTCCTTCTGCAGCTTTATTCTTGGGACAGATCCTCACAGGGACACAAGGGGAGCAGCATGGTCCCCAGTCATCTGGACACTGACTCTTTACGCCAGAAGGTGGCAGTATACACATTTCCTTACCGTACAAAACCAGCACCTTCCAGGACACTGATCACTAATCACTCAAAGGTGGGCCATGGTAAGGGTGTGAAAGGATGGCGAGCTCCTCCAGCCAAGGTCAGGAAGGGATAGAGACAATGGCTGCCTACGGTGCCTGGTGCTGTGAAAGATGGCATCTCCCCCGTTTTACAGTTGGGGAAACCAAGCTTCAGAGAGGCCAGCAGTCCCCAACCCCTACTAAAAAGTAACATTGCCCAGACCTGAGCCCAGCTCTCCTCATCCCAGTGCCCACCCTCTTTCCGCTACGCCATGTGCCTTCCAGCTCTCCAGCAACAGCAGTCGATGAAAAAGTTGGCAAGGATCTTTCCAAACCATTGGCTAATGCTTTTTAAATCACGGTATCAAATTATGAAATTGATCATACCCTTTGACCTTGGAGCACCGCTTTGAGAAATATGTTCCAAGGAAACAAATAAATAAAAATAAGAACTATGTATTTATAAATACACATATATCATATAAATATATTTTTATATATTATAAATTATAACAAAGGTGGATAGGGAGATGCTCAGAACTGAGCTTAATACTGCTGCTACAACTGGAGGCAGCCCAAATGCCTAGCCATGGGGCAGACGCAGGGAAGACTGTGCTATAGACAGTATACTGACACTGTGAATGGCCATGTGAGAATTGGAGCTGATGTCCAGCTTGTCACATGGGTACCATCATTCTGGTTGTTAAAATATTGAAATAAATACTTCCATACTAGTCGACAAATAGATCCTGAGTATCTTCCCGGCCTTCCTGGCCCCTCCACTGAATTTCCCTACCCAGCCACTAAATGGTGAGTGCCTGGCTCAGCAGAACCCTCCAGCTCCTACCCTATGCAGTGTCTATGAACATCCTGGAAACAGTTACTGAATCTTTGTTAAACCTCCCCTGGCTAAGAGTCTGTGCACTCAGAAATTGGAGACCTTATTTTAGAATGAGACGAGATACAGGGATAGATATGGAGGCATTATGTAACTTAGTAAGTAAAAAGTAGAACTTGATACAATGAATATAAGGAATAGCAATGAGGCCAATTTATATTTTCATAAACAAGCGTTTCTAAGAAGCCAGAGCCTGTAAATATTTGGTAAGTTAGTTAATGGGAGAGTTGACAAATACTGTCAGTTGCCTTCTCAACAGCCTTTCCCCCTCTTTTCTTCTTGAAAGAAAACTGCAGTTTTGTTCACTCTCCTCCTGCTCTTCTGACAACCAAGTGCTTTGGGGAAAGTTGAGCCTGGAGGTGGCCCAGGTGGCGGGAGGCACGGTGTCCCATTCGTCTGGCCAAGTGGAGGATTTAGGCATGGGCTGGTGATGGGGTTCCGGCCAATGAGGTGGAAGGGAGGTTGATTGGGAGGATTCTAGCAAGACTTTCCTTTCCTATATACAGGGACCGTGACAGGAATGCCCCGTTTGTTTTCTTTGAGGATGTCTTGCTTAAAACTAAGGCAAACATGTTCCCCAAAGGGAAAGCTACGGGAATTCCAGAGAACACAAATCTTAGCCCTGTCATCTTTGATCTGCTCAGTCTGTCCTGGAGCTGCTCCACAGTTAGCCTTGTTATTGTTCAAGCCACTTAAGTGGGATTTGCTGGTATTTGCAGAGTCTCACTACACTACAATGCAGACTGCTTGTTCACTACCACACCCCTGCTCTCTATCACACTGCCTGGTACATAGTAGACCGACCATCAATATTTGTTGATGGGATAAATGAATAAAAAACATCCTCATTATGTAGGAGGGTGTTCAGTTTTCTTTGATGGTCTTGGTGTTTGAGTTTTCCATTTAAAACATTCTTTAGACAGGGGATGTTGTTGACTGTCTATGATCTCCAGGGCGTTCGTGTTATAGGAAGTGGCGAACAGACCTGGATTTGAATCTGGATCTGCTGCTTATCGGTCAAGTGCCCTTGGGCAAATTACTCGTCTTCCCTGTGCACCTGTAAATGGAGCACAACCAGCACCAAGTCATAGGGCTGCTGTGCAGAGTAGCTGAGAAGCAGCCACAGAGCCAGGCTGAGTTGGTGTTTGTTCCTCGCCTCTCTGCAGCTCCACATCTTCAGGTGCTAGACATCAGGTTGAGCCCCTCCTTGACCTCGAGAAGGGTCTCATGGGCCAGGGGAGGAGTCAGACACATCAACAAATCAACCAAGTGACCAACGTTAACATCACCACAACGGGACAAAACAACGTCATATACCTTCTGTGACACAAATACAAACACAGCGTCACCTCTGGGAGGGATACTCTGACCAAATGTATACAACGTGACCCCCTCCCGAGGAAACATCAGACAAACCCCAAATGAGGTACTTTCTCTAAAATAACTGCCTAGACAAGATGACGGTTAAATGTGGTGCATGATCTGGGTTTTTTCCTTTGCTATAAAGAACTTTACTGGGCCCTGGCCGGTTTGGCTCAGCGATTAGAGCGTCGGCCTGCGGTCCAGAGAGACCCGGGTTCGGTTCCCGCTAAGGGCGCGTACCTCGGTTGCAGTTTGTCCCCGGCCCTGGTTGGTCATGTGGGTGGCAGCCACTTGATGTGTCCCTTTCACGTCGATGTTTCTCTCTCTCTCTCTCTCTCTCTTCCTCTCTCTCTCTCCCACTCTGTCTGAACAAAAAATGTCCTCAGGTGAGGATGAAAAAAAGAACTTTACTGGGATAATTCATGAAATCTGAGTAAAATTTGTATATTAGATAATAGTTGGTATCAAAGTAAGTTTTTTTTCATCCTCACCCGAGGATATTTTTCCATTTATTTTCAGATAGAGTGGGAAGGGGAGAGAGAGAGAGAAAGAAAAACATCAATGTGAGAGAGACACAGCGACTGATTGCCTCCCGCACGACCCCAACCAGGGCCAGGGACGGAACCGCAACTGAGGTACGTGTCCTTGACTGGAATCGAACCCGCGACTCTTTGATCCACAGGCTGACACTCTAATTGCTGAACCAAACCAGCCAGGGCTCAAAGTTAATTTTTTAATTTTGATAACTGTTCTGTTATTATGTAAGAGAATATCCTTGGTTTTGGAAAACATGCACATTGAAGGAGTAGAAAAGTATAATGTCTACAAATAACTCACATCTTGGAAAAAATAAAATTATATATCTAGATAGATAAGATTAAGGCAAATGTGGAAAAGCCTTAATATTTAGGAAATCTGGGTGAAAGATGTACAAGAATTCTTTGTACTATCCTTGCAACTTCCCTTTAAGTCTGAAATAATGTCAAGAAATCATTTAAAAGTTTTTTAGAGCTATAGTAGAGCCAAGTCCTAAAGACTAGGAATCCGGAGGTTGGAAAAGAAGGAAAGGGGAATTTCAGGTTGAGTCAAGACTTCAGAAAGCACTCAAGAAGCCACTGGGAGCTGGCGGGCCCACCGCACAGGAAGCGGCATTTGAGCGGGTTCTGGGAAGAGGACGGCCTTTCGGTCAGGCTGGGAGTCTGAAAAGCAGGCGGCAGGCAGGTGTTGCCAAGAACTCGTGGTGGGTAGTAAAGCTGGACATGTAAGTTGGGACCAAACCTCCAAGGACCTTGACCGCCCTGCCGAGCACTGGGACTTGATCCTGTACGCAGCGAGTGGGCAGTGAATGATGGGACCTCTGTTGTAGACAATAGGAGGATGAATGGGGAAGGTCAGAATGGAAGCAGGGAATCCCACACGGTGACTGCTGCAGCATCTGGGGGTGAAAGAAGATGCCAGGGGCTTGATTTATGCCTTTCAGCCAGAACCACAGGGGCAGTGTTACCATTACCCCCCAGCAGGCAAACTGGCAGGCTGGCTTTGGTGCTTTGATTCCAGTTCGCTCTACATTGCAGAGGCCACCGGACAACTGACTGGTCAGCAAGGGTAAGGCTGAGAGGGTGCAGCAGGCATGCACACCTGGACAGCCAGGGGGTGAGGGCCACTAACTGTCTCATCATAAACTGCCTTTGCTAAATTCAGAAAACCACCCACATCCCCTGTCCCAGTCAGCTCGGTCTCTTCTAGTCCCCCTCGGTGCCTGATTTCCCCAGATTGTATCACCATTTGGGTGCTGTGGCCAGTCCCTCTATGCTTCCTCCC